CCCACCCTCTTCCATATTATTTTTCATTTAATGCTTGTGTACAATTTCAGTGCTAGGGTGCATCATACTCTCCACATCCAGGCCTGCCACGCACATGCTAAGATCAATCCAAGGGCCATAGTTGGAAGAATATCATGGACATGAGTCAAAGGTGTTGCACGCTGGCACGAGAAGTCAACCAGGCTAAAGCCATTGGGCCTGGATTTCTAAGTTGTGACCTCCAATTGGGGACAGAACCCCCCAAGGTTTGCCATTTTTTTTTACATTTTATTTTTTATTTGATCTAATTAATTTCCCTTAAATTTAATTATTATTTTCATAAAAACATAAAAACAATAAAAAATCAGAAAAAGACAAAATTAAATATATTGTTATTTAACTAATATTTTTGTAAATAAAGTTTTGTATCAATTAATTAGTTTTAATTTAGGAGTAAATCTTAATATTTTTCTAATAAACTTAAAATGTGTAGAATTAGGGTTTGATCAATTGTTTATCTTTTTTTATTTTCTTTCACAATAATTAATTATTAAAGTATTATTTATTTTCATAAATCAAAGTTGCATGTAAATAATTAGGTTAATTTAGGTTTAACTTTAATATTCTTTTTAATAAATAAAAGTTATAGAATTAGGGTTAATATTTTATTTTAATTAATCTTTCTCATAAAAATTCATAAATCCAAAAACTCAAAATAATTTCCTTTCATTTTAATTTTCATTAATTTAATCATTCAATTTAATTTCGTTAAAAGGGTCCAACGCCCTCGTTTCTAATTTTAATTCAATTCGCGTATTTATTTCTTTTTTCTTTTAATTATTTATGTACCTCTCCCAAAGCCGTGTAATATATTTCTCGCACTTTACTTTCTTTATTTTTTGTCAAATCGGGTCCTGGAAATTTTGGCGATGTGGACCAGCGCCTTTGTAATAGTTTAGAATTTTACCTTTCTCGCAATTTTTAATTGTTAAATAAATGCATGCAAGAATGAATGGCCTAAAATAAAAATAAACGCATAGATCACCCATGGCATGAACAAGACAAAATATCTGAAAACGACACACAAATCACACACCACCTCTAGGGTACGCCTCACTGTTGCCTTGCCTCGAAAGGTGATCGTCGAGTAGAGGATGTCTTAGTAAGTCCTCATGATCCGGGAACCTGGCATGAGGGTAGCTTCTAAGGTATCTTCCTATTACTCCGGTGATCACACTGTTGCCTTGTCCCTCGAAACGTGGCCGCCGACTATAGGACGTTTTAGTAAGTCCTTATGTCCGTTGATCCATATGCCCCAAAACAAGTTGCCTCGGAAAAGTTGCCTCGAATTAAAAAAGGAACCTGGCATGAGGGTAGCTTCTAAGGTGTCTTCCCATTGCTCTGGTGATCACCATGTCCCGAACCTCGAATTGACCCGAACACCTCCAACGGTGGTGCTACCTACCTCTCAATGGTGGGATGGCACTACTTTTAAGGACATTTACACAGACGAATTCCTTAGGGTAGGTAGACAACTCTAGATACTTGCTCTAATTTCAAAACAAATCAAAAATACTTTTCACACCGACACCTTTTCAAAAGCTTTCGAAAGCAATTTTTCAAACACTCTTGAGGACCGATACAAGAGTCGAACTGGAATTTTCAAAGAAACTTTTTAAAACCCACAGTTGAAAAGCAAACAAACCATTTTTGAAAACACAAATGAGAAAGTATCTAAGAGCCCATGGATAACCATGGATAGAAAGGGTGCTAACACCTTCCCTTTCTATAATCTACCTCCCGAACCGAGAGCAATCTCTTTAAGGAATTTTTCTGTGCTTTTGTCCTTTCCATTTGGAGAAAATAAAAGACGGTGGCGACTCTTGCTTCCGCGACATTTCGCAAACCAGCATTAAACAGTCAGTTCCAGATCCACCGATCACAACTGTCAAATGACCATTTTGCCCCTGCAGTTGACTGTGGAGCAATTAGGGTTTTTGACTGTGCAATTTGATGCTGTGAGTCTTGAAACTTGGCATATGGATGCTTGACAATGTTTATAGGCATATGGGACTTGATTGGACCCTTGAAAACCTCATTTTCTTTGCAAGAACCAAAACCCTAATTTTGACTGTGTTAGGAGGCAATTGGACTGTGCAACCCTTGAGAGATTTTGAAGCTTGATCTTGCCAACCCTTGAAGAATATGGGAGGGCAAATTTTGGGGTACAACAGTTGCCCCTGTTCAATCTTAGACCTGAGGATGTAGATTGGCTGGCATGCCTTTCGTAATCCGAAGGTGGAAGATGATTGAACACTAGAGTGCCCAGAAATTTGCACTCACATAGTAGAGTGTTAACAGTGTGATGGTGGGAATGGGCTTACAGATGCCATTTGGAGACTGTCGGTATGTGGATGGGCTTATAGATGCCATCTAGGTGTCGATCGCGTAAGAGGTTCCTTAGCGAGAACTTGCGTACCTGAGAAAGAAAGATAATTACCCGGCCTGTTACAGGAGTTGATCTTCAAACTCTTTATGTAGATGTGCTCTGGCTGGATGCAGGAATCGAATCTTTAAACCCTTCATGTAGATGTGCCCTGGCCGGATACAGGTATCGAGTCTACAATTAGTTACTCACAGATGTGCCCTGGCTAGATACTGGAATCGAATCTGGAAAATAGTCGTCAACAGATACACCCTGGCAAGATACAGGAATCGGATCTTCAAACTCTTCAGACGTGCCCTGGCAGGATACAGGAATCGAGTCTAGAATTAGTCGTCAACAGATACACCCTGGCAAGATACAGGAATCGGATCTTCAAACTCTTCAGACGTGCCCTGGCAAGATACAAGAATCGAGTCTGGAATTAGTCGTCAACAGGTACACCCTGGCAAGATACAGGAATCGGATCTTCAAACTCTTCAGACGTGCCCTGGCAAGATACAGGAATCGAGTCTGGAATTAGTCGTCAACAGATACACCCTGGCAAGATACAGGAATCAGATCTTCAAACTCTTCAGACGTGCCCTGGTAGGATACAAGAATCGAGTCCGGAAAATAGTCGTCAACAGATACACCCTGGCAAGATACAGGAATCGGATCTTCAAACTCTTCAGACGTGCCCTGGCAAGATACAGGAATCGAGTCCGGAAAATAGTCGTCAACAGATACACCCTGGCAAGATACAGGAATCGGATCTTCAAACTCTTCAGACGTGCCCTGGCAAGATACAGGAATCGAGTCTGGAATTAGTCGTCAACAGATACACCCTGGCAAGATACAGGAATCGGATCTTCAAACTCTTCAGACGTGCCCTGGCAGGATACAGGTATCGAGTCCGGAATTAGTCGCTCACAGACATGCCCTGGCCGGATACAAGAATTGAATCTGGAATTGCGAAAGTTGATAGTAATCATCTTTGTATTGATCTTTTGTCCTGAAAAGACAAAACGTTAGTTGTATGCAATGCCATGATATATGAAGTGCGTGATGTCATGAGATGACTGAGATTATATGTTCATGATGCGTATATGCATGCTATAATGTATGGGGATACGATGTTTATGAATGCATTTTCGTCTAGGAAAATAAATCCTTGACGAATGCCGGGAGTTCGAATCCTGGGTTGATGTTAAAGAGTGGAACTTTTTGTTTCCGCTGGGGATGATGGTTGCAAGAATACCGGTGGGAGAAGATGACTCTGATGGGGAATAAACTCGGCGAATAGATTACTCTGTGGGGAGTGAACTCTGTGGGGAAAGAGAGGTACTTGTTGAAATGTTGATGATAACTCCGCTGGGGATACCATTGTTGAGCTCTGTTGGAACACTACAAGAAAATTGGCAGATTGCGACAGGTATTTTTGTAGATTACGACGGTTAAAACCGTCGCAATTTGCTTTCCACGACGGTTGCTTTACCGTCGCAGAAGTGTGTGTCCCCAACCTATTTCGTGACGGTTACAAAAACTGTCGTTCAAGTTTACGACGGGTTGATACCGTCGTGACTATCTTTTGAGTTTCTTTTAATTATTGATGGCGACGGTTCGATACTGTCGTGAATATCTTTTGAAATTGATTAAATTGTTTATGGCGACGGTTCGATACCGTCATGACTTTTGTTGATTATTTTTAATTGTTGATTACGACAGTTCGGTACTGTCGCCATGACTTTTGTTTATGTCTTGATTTTTTTTTATTTTTCTATTATATATATTTTTTATTTAAATTATTATCTATGTAAAAAAATTTAAATATAGTTTTTTTTTGTGTTATTTTTTTCTTTAAATTATTTCTTCTTTAATATATTTATTTATAGTATTATTTTTTGTTTTATTTTCTATCACTTTGTAATATAGTAAAAATAATTTCAATAAAAAATATTTAACATCAAATAAGCATTATAATATCCAAAAAAATGTGTGTTCCATAATCATGTAAAATGCGAGTTCCATAATCATGTCAAGTAGTACAAAAAACCCAAAATATATCAATTCCTAATCTTATAATAATAAGTATCATTATGCCAAAAATACATGAGAAAGTTCACAATCTAATTATCTCGATCATAGCAAAGTCTAATTTGTCCCCCCTGAAGTTCCATTATCTCCAATACGGTAGCTAGACTCAGATGAACGTCTACCATCAGCGGGTGATTCCAATCCCTAAAAAAAGGTATTAAAATGATTATCTTTAAAATAATACTCATAAAATAGAATTAGAACAATAACAAAGTTAGGTAATAGAACTATTCAAGGAAGATTGCTCAAACTTCATGAAGAAGCTACCACATAAACAGTATATCTAAAAAGGCTTGTTGCGACTCAAAATAAACAAATTGGTTCAAGGATTTGATGCAATTGTACACATCATCACCCCATCCTAACTGTTATCATATGACTTCGATAAATATAGACAGACTAAAGTTAGGAAACAGAGATGTGTACCTTCAGAGCATAAGCTTGTGATTTCTCAGAAACAGGGCACAAAATTGCTTGACGAGGACTGAGCCAGAAGGGCCATTTACCCTTGTAGTGCTCTAAAACGATCAGGAAGCTGGAAGTCAAGCTGCAAGGAGCCAATTTATCCAATTATCAGTAAAAATAATTAACAACTGAACCATGTGAATGCAAGTCAAGCCAAAGAGTGTAAACCTGTAGAGTTGCACACTGGAATTTCCTACTCAATGCATCAGATACACTGATATCTATCTTTGGTCCATAGAATGCACCATCCCCTTCATTCAACTGCAGAGTTTTATTTGGATTATAAGCACATAATTGAAGTTAACAAATGATGCATTACATTGAAAATAATAAAACAGATATACAAAAAATAAAAGAATGTATGAGAATATAAAAAATAGTATCAAGAAACATATAATTGAATTCAAAACATGAAAAGCATATACCTGCCATGGCTTGCCAAACTCATCCAAAGCCTCCTTGAGAGCACTTTCAGCCCTATCCCACGTTTCATCATCTCCAAGCTTATTCTCTGGCCTCTACTCAAGTATTTAACACAGGCAAGGCAAAATAAATAACTGAGTCATTAAATAGATTAAACCAATTACTAACAGCAGAGTCTACCAAGCTTATCATGTACTACTATATCATGTATCAGAAGAAAAGAAAATAACAAGAAAGCTAGTTCTTTGTATTGAGGCCATATTCCCAATTATTAACTGTTCCTACTAATGTTATTTATTCACAAACTTCATCATATTTCAAACCATAGAGAAGTGTTCCTACTAATGTTATTTATTAAACATATAAACAAAACATGTACCATAGGAAGAGAAAGACTGGTAAGATACGATCAAAATGATCTATATCAGATGACGCTCTTAGAAGGAATAATTGCAACAAAGAAACAAATAATGAAATTATCAAATCAGAATTAACTTACATTGCAGACAAAACATATAGCGGCAGTTGTTTCCAAACTATTAAACAGATTTATCAGCATCTCTTTTGGAAGCCTTTTTTCCATTTCAACAGAATCTTTTCCAACAGGATCAGAATTGTATTCTTTAACAAGAAGTGGGTGATCACAAGCCTGACGGAGACGTAAAAGCATCAAAAGAATATTTGCATAGTTTTGATTCACTGTACGGCAGCAGCATATGCCTGCAAATTACAAGCATTACTTTTCAAAATTACAAACTGAGAACATCCATCAGTGTAGAAATATCAGATTAACAAAATCATATAATTCGTAATTGACATGCCCACTGTCAAAATAAATTTCTAGACACTAATTTAAAAAAGAAGACAAACAGTATCATTACAGTATGTCCAAGTTAATATAAGAAATTTGAAAAGAAATAAACTTTAAATTGAGAACGTGAATCAGCTTCCAACTTTTTGTAGTATACCAAACTCCAAAATATTTAAAAGGTCCTATGTTGTGTTTGTCCCTTACTTTTTGCTGAAATTCTTTCACAAGTACATATAAAATTCTATTACCATTTACATTTTATTAAAATGACACAATTTTATTTTGTGTTGCATTTGTTTTAAAAAGGCTAGTGATACAGTTTAACATTTAGCTCTTAAGTTATAATCATTACCCATCAATTTATGGTGGCAGGGAACTAGATTAAGATCTTCTGCATCTGACTTTTTACTGAAACCTACATTTTCAACTACATTAGCATACTAACACCACTTATCTTATAGAAAGTTACTGAAACCTATTACCACTCTCCAATAGATAAAAAAACATATACAGTGCTCTAGAACTATACCAACTAATGTAGAAGTTTAATATCTTATTATGGGTTAGAGGTGAAATTGCTAAATAGATAGAGGAAAAAACTTGTTATGCAGTTACATCTAACTAATTACAAGAACTTGTTGAAAAAACTTATTAATTAGTGTGAAAGATAGAGTGAAATTCTTACATGATTATTATAGAGGTAACACTGCATTTCCTTTCTATGCTCATATATTACGACTGCATTCAAAGCCCCGGTGACAGACAGAGCAATAACCTGTTATTGGTAATGAGTGAAAATGGAAAGAAAAACTAAATACAAAACTAAATAAAAACACCCAATTTGAAAGGCAATGGTTGTGATACTAGAGCATTGTTAAATTACATCATATAAAACACCCAATCTATGAACAAAACTAAGGGTTTCTAACTATAATTTCTTATTAATCACTTATTTTTACTAAATAAGCATAAACAAACAACCACAAATTCAACTACAACAGTACTATATTTCAATTTAAAGATGATTTATAAAATTCACAAAAATGAATAAAACCCTGAAATAACATATTAGAAAACCTAACATCGGTTCAATCTATTGAAACTCAAAATCAACCAACCCTAAGATTCAAGTGAATCTCCAGTGCTAAGTCAATGTTAAAGAATGAGAGAGATATGTGAAGTGTTACAGAAAAGTGGTTATATGCGAGAATGAGAGAGATATGTGAAGTGTTACAGAATAAAGAAAAAGTGCTACACAAAACTTACAGGTTTGAAGACAAAGATGCTTGATGTAAAAACCTAAACTGTTAAAACCGTGCAATATCAAGCTTATAAATTACAGTTTCATTATCTGAATTTTCTTTCTACAGAGCAATTAAACCGATGTTCGCCCAAACCCTAAATTGAACAATTTCATTTAACCTAAATTGAATCGACGAAATAACAAGAATCGATGAAAATTAAACAGGGAGATTAAAGTGTGATCTGAAAAATGGAAGAAGATTAGGGTTTTAGGGAAAGACTAACCTTGGACTGTTGAGAGAGTTGAGGGACCTCTCTGTGATGAATTGATAATGATAAGACCCTTTTTGCTGGGAGTGAAGTGAATGTTACTCTATCTTTATTTTCATTTTCACCCCTCGACTTTACTTTCTTTCCAAAAGTTTCCTTTTTTGATTCTCTCTCTCGTATATTATTTTTTGTGACAAACACTCCTACGGCATGAACGGCACCGTGAGTAAAAATTTATTTAGAATGATTGAGTTATAAATAAATTCACATCTAATCCATAAAATTTATAGGTTATTGAGTGATTATATTTTAGTTTTTTTTTAATTATATAAATGATAACTTTAATATTTTTAGTTTTTTTTTAATTATATAAGTGTTGATTTTGATATTTTTAATCGCGGTTATTTCAATTTCAATTTTTTGAATCTCTTTTATTTTATAAGTAATTATTTTGACTTATTTTGAATATCACATTTTAATTATTTTGATGATAATTTTTCAAAGTTATAAGTATTTTATGCAATTTTAAGTATTACTATAATGTAATTCTAATTTTTGAAAATATATTTATGATAAATTAGTGAAATATTTGTGCGTTTGCACGGATACTGATACAGTATGCATAATTTTATTAAAAAAATATATAATTTTTTAAAAACTTTATAATTGTTTTACCAAAAAAATTGATGTTTTATGTATTTTAAGAGCTTTTTAACTTTTTTACGGCGACGGGTGTTTTACCGTCGTGCCCATGAGAATTTTTAAAGGTTTTGGGTGCGACGGTTGTTTTACCGTCGTGAAATGAATTTTAGGACGGATAATTTTACCGTCGTGAAAGGTTTAAGGGTGCGACGGGTGCTTTACCATCGTGATATGCCTTTTAGGACGGTTAATTTTACCGTCGTGACTAGTTGTTGGTGAAAAATCAATGTTAAAAGTGTTAAATGGGGGCCGACAGTTGTTTTACCGTCGTAATAATAATATTATGATGGTTAAATATACCGTCGCAAAATAAATATTAGGGACGGTTGGTGTCAATTGTCGTAAACACTGTCTCTATATGTCAATTACGACAGTTATCACATAACTGTCGCAATTTTTGTGTCGTTAAACACTAATTTTCTTGTAGTGGAAGATTAGATGAACTCCGCTGGGGATAGGAAGACTTCGCCGGGAACTATTTTTCCGTGGCAATTGGCTGAGGATAACCCAGTTATATCCTGGTGGGGAAATAACCTTCTAAATAAAGCCGGGGGAGCGTTCGCACTCTGCAGGTGATAAGCTTCCAGAATCTACTGGGGATAAGCTTCCTATTGGGGGGATTGATTCAACTTTCCTGGGGAAACTTTTCAGTTGGGACTGGGGAATGGCTCCACTGGATGTCCGGTATTCCGCCGGGGAACAATCTTAGATCAAGATTGTTGGGGATGTTTGTATACTCCGCTAGGGATTGTTGAGATCTTCGGGGGATAATCCAACTTCCTTAAGGCTGACTGTAGGCTAACTCTGCTTGGGGAGAGTGTTGCTAACTTGCTGGAGGTATTGTGCCTTCTCTGCTCGAGGGGAGTATGGCTGAACCTTGGCTTACTCTCTGGGGAATTAAGGCATCTTGGTTACATTCTTCAGCCGAACTTACCTTGGTACCTTGGTGGACAGAGCAATTAGATTGCTTAGACGACTCATTATTGCCCCTGTTTCTGATGTTACCTGTAATTAATCCTTTGTTTCATATGCAAATATTTATGAGTTAGCAATTAGTGTCAAATGCATATATCACAATTGAACATTGGACATTCTTCGCAAAACAAAACAGAAAAAAGGAAAAACAATTGGCAATTGGTCTGAAAAGTGAATTTGTATTGATTTTGAATTTTCCTGTAAATAGGCGTTTATGTACAAGAGGCTGACGTCCTAGTAAGAGAACGCCGCCGAACAACAGAGTTTATACAATTTTGTGAAGAAGGAAAACAAAACAACTATGTGAAAGGAATAATCCCACTGGGTTCCAACTCTGCTATCGCCTTTATATCTTCGAGCGTCTCATCACTTGGCTGCTCAGTTGAAGATGAAGTTGACTGATCGATGCCGTTTGAACTTGATAGTTGATACCGGATTCTGGATGCAAGGTGATTCAATGAGACATAGTATTACACTTTAATCCCTAAATTTTGCCTGGACGGCCCTTTCGGGTTTTCGGTCCACCGGGATACCCATTTTTGCCCAAGCCGCCTTTTCAGGTTTTCGACTTGCCGGGTGTACAGATTTTTTTCGTTTCATCCCTTATTTTAGCCTGAACCCTTTTGGTTCGCCGGGAAGCCCTAGTTTTTGCCTAGGTATGTCAACCTAGCGGGTCTTTTATCATGCGTAGTATCTTTTTACTATGTCTGCATTAGCGGGGTGAGGAAGGTCGTCACCATCCATGGTGGTTAGAATCATGGCTCCTCCTGAGAACACATGTTTAACCACAAATGGCCCTTCGTACGTAGGGGTCCATTTGCCCCTGGGATCACTTTGAGGAAGAATGATGCGCTTGATTACCAGGTCCCCAACTTGATACTCTTGTGGCCAGACTTTCTTGTTAAATGCCCTGATCATCCGTTTTTGGTACGTTTGACCATGACAGATAGCAGTGAGTCTCTTTTCGTCAATTAGGTTTAACTGATCAAGTCGAGTCTGGATCCAGTCATCTTCGCTCAGATATGCATCCTTCATTATCCGGAGAGAGGGTATCTGGACTTTAATCGGCAAGACTGCCTCCATGCCGTAGACCAAGGAAAAGGGAGTTGCCCCGGTTGACGTTCTTGCTGAGGTACGGTACCCGTGAAGAGCAAACGGTAACATCTCGTGCCAATCTTTATAGGTCACTGTCATCTTCTGCACAATCTTTTTGATATTCTTATTTGCTGCTTCTACAGCCCCATTCATCTTCGGCCGGTAAGGAGAAGAGTTGTGGTGATGTATTTTGAATTGCTCGCAGAGCTCAGGGATCATCTTGTTGTTGAGATTGGTACCATTGTCTATAATGATCCTTTCCGGGACGCCGTATAGACAGATCAGATTATGCCGAATGAACTGTGCCACGACGTTCTTGGTTACTGTAGCGTAGGAAGCCGCTTCAACCCACTTTGTGAAGTAATCGATCGCCACCAGGATGAAGCGATGCCTGTTGGATTCCGTAGGTTTAATCTCGCCGATCATATCAATGCCCCACATTGCAAAAGGCCAAGGTGCAGTCAACACATTCAGAGGAACTGGAGGAGCGTGCACCTTATCAGCATAAATCTGGCACTTATGACATGTCTGGGAATGTTGGTAACAACCAGCTTCCATTGTGGACCAGAAATATCCTGCCCAAAGGATCTTCTTTGCCATGGTGTGTCCACTGGAGTGTGTTCCGAAGGTACCTTCATGCAGCTCTGCCATGACCCTTTCTGCTTCAGTCTTATCCATACAACGCAGTAAGGTTGAATCATGGTTTCGCTTGTATAGAATGCATTGCTGAGGAAGAACTTTGCTGCGAACCTTCTCAGAAACTTTTTGTCGTTGATAGATGTACCTTCAGGGTATTCCTGAGCTTCCAAGTACCTTTTCACCTCATGATACCAGGGTTTCTCAGTTACTATCTCAGCCTCAAGATCACAACAGTATGCAGGTTCGTCCAGTTTCCAGATAATGATCCGGGGAGCCTCGTTGTCCCATTTGACTTTGAACATAGAAGACATCGTAGCCAGCGCGTCTGCCAACTGATTCTCCTCTCTTGGGAAGTGTTCAAAAGTTATCTCTGTGAAATGGGGGATCAATGTCAACACATACTCTTTGTAAGGAATAAGGTTTGGGTGTTTCG